GCGAGCGTGTCCTGGCTGATAGGCTCGCTTCGGCAGAATACTACTTCATTCGATTAGGGCCTTGAAAAAAATCGACTCAATGAACGATAATTTCAACGAAAAAAAACGCTATATGCGAGGCATCATATCACAATGGAAATAAAAGAGCTAAACGTTTTCAATAGGTAAATTACACTTACTCTTCGCTGTTGGTGGGTAATACATTTGGGAAAGATGTTCAAACGCCAACGAGATTCATACCAGGAAAGCGTGATAGAAACGTAAACGTTAGTTTTTTTTAACTCACTTATAATCTGCCTTACCTTATCTATATTACAAGTATACTACTATACAAGCATAGAAGAATCCACATTGACGAATATGCGAGGTGACAAATGCTGCTGCTGGTGATGATGCCACAATATTCATGTTATCCACCACTGGACGGGTATCATAAGATGCACCCATTATCTTTCGGAAGGGTTGTCAATAAACATAGACAGAAAAAAACAATGAGCAATAAATGCTAGAATACATTTCTGAAACCTAAAAACAAGAGAGCTTAGGGGTCGTTGAAATTGCAATTGATATTGTGTTTTACCCAGTGACCTGGGCTCGTAGATTATACGTAGGTGTATTTTTATAGCACCGTCGATGCGAACTAATACGAAGTTACGTTCGACGACAAGTGCTCCCAAAGGGTTCGTCTGCTTTTAGCAACGAACTAAGCAGTTTGTTAATCTTTAATTATGTCTCAAGTTGCAGATAAAAGTTGCATCATATCACTCAATGCATCGTATCCGGTGGGTGGAACGACGAAGACTTTGCTTCGTATAAATTCATATTTAAAAATCGATAAGGCTAGTAAAATTCCGTTATATAAAAATGTATGGATTTTCCACCGCAACAAAAACTTGCGTTTTGCAAAACGTGTGCTGCCAATCTGAATTTCCCACCAAGAGTCGTAGCTGACTATCGTAGGGCACCTTTAAGGGCATGTCAACTTTGGGACCGGACCGATCGAAGCTGTGTGGGAAATAGCGAACAAAAATAAAGTCATCCGCTCCTGAATAGTAATTTTGAAATAACCATGGCATAGTGAAATTCCACAAAATATTGACTTAACGTTTGACCTAGCGTCAAACGAGAGAATAATGCGTTTCGAACTCGAATGTAAGCCCAAGGTACGTATATCAAGCGTTAACGTTATGGAAACGCGCATATTATTTACATTTAGGTAAATATTTATAGCTAATGCGGGCGGAATTTGTCGTTATATGGATGTGTTGACATGGTCATGCATGCTTACATTTGACCCAACTCATTTTATACTTTATTCGAACAAGCTGCCTCTGACGTTTTCCGACATTACACCTTGTGCATACAAATCGCATTGTTAACTACGGCGCCTCATAATTCTAACATATTCATCTCCGTTTCGAAATTGACCTAAAGGCTGTTTATTAACAAGTACATTATTCGCGAAGAAATCCCACGAACCGGGACATACGAATAATATGAGGGTACTCGGCATTATTTACGACTTGTTTTTAAATATTTACAACACCGTGTAATACGTATCTTTGTTTATACGTGAATAATGTTCGCTTATTTTGCCTGCAACTAACGGTTTTCCTCACTTCGATTCATATTTTCAACATGAATCGATTTGTTTCTTCTGGTGAGGTTGAGTCCACTACATTTTGGGTCCGCCAAATAAAACTAGCGACACGATAAAATGACACAAATTATGAATTATTATAGCCATTGGATTTTTAGCTGCAAATAAAGCACCATAAAGGTTTCATGCTTCGTGTGTTTTGCAGATTTTGACGATACGTACTTATGAGTTGGATAAGTTTAGTTAGAAACAAATCCCATTATAAAACGATATGGGAATTGGGTCAAAAATATTTTATCCGTTACGAATCCGCTAATAATTAAACCAACGCATCGATCAAATCTTGGCTGAAGAAAAAGACATTCTTCAATTGAAATTACATTCTAACATGCGTTAGATGCCAGATACATCTTTACTGCATTTGTTGCAGTCTCACAACCAGTTGGGTAGCTGCACGATATGCTTATAAATGTATAAGCATCGTCTTAGAAAACCGTTTATATTTTGTTTGATTTGACACAAGCAGACTCAATGTCTTAGTGTCTCTACAAACGATCATCTTCATCAAGTAACCAGCTGGTGAGCGATGAGGCGCCAGCTCGACCTTTGCAAGCCCAGAACCCTAAAAAGTACCTGGTGCTCGTGACTCACAATAAAAATAAAAACGGCTTTTAGCTTACATCAGTAGAACGAACATGCGATATATTATCTTCTGCGAAGGCTTCTTTAAAAGTATCAACAACAACAATAACCAAATCATTATAGCACCTTGTGGTCCCTTGCTTTAACTACGTTGTGCAGCTATACCACGGAGATGGGGTTTTTATGCTTCCTCTATATAATCTGAATAGTTCAAAAAAACGTATGTAAACGTCGCCTGGCGAACAAACACTTCGGTAACACAGTGATATATGTGGCAAGTATGAGATTCACTTTCGAAACATATTAGGAAACTTTCACACATCTTGACTCGAATGCCGCTAGACTTCGTTATCGCACAGGTAACAGAGTGACAGGTACTTCATTCAACTTAAATCGTCTCTGTATTTGCGTAGATGAATTTCATATTAGCGAAACCGAAACCTAATTCGAATTCTATATGTCTTCTTCAGTGTGGTTTAAATAAAAGTGTTATAACTTTATCATATTTTGCCAGATTTATGAACATTTTTTTGCTGTTGGAGTTAAGGCGGCTGAATTGGCTTAAAATTTAGTCAAAAGTGCATTCATGCCCGCGTCGAACTCATTTGCTCTTATGGTTTAAGGCTGACTTGAGTAAAAGGACTAGATAGTATAGGCGGCTAGCATCAGCTAGTGGTTGTACTGACGGAAAGGCAGGCGTTTGCTCAGCTGACTGTGTTATGTAGTATTAGCGGTCACAGACACAAAGATATCAAGTTGATTCACAAGAAACTCTTGTAAAGTATGGGATGGGCTTATGTTTAAGATGTAAAACTGTACAGGAGAGATATTTTACCGCTGTTGCATCTACGAAAAATTTTCTTAAAAAAAAAGAACACATTGTTGTCTCCTATTGATCTATAGAACGCCAATAGATATTTATAGCTTTGCGCAAGCTTACGCTTAATATTTTTTGCGTTTCGGCTTATGCCTATTAATTTACTAATATTATTCAATTGCTTGGGAACGATAGCTGTTTTTGAACAAAAAGGAGACCCTAGTTGTCTGTCACAGATAAAATGCGACCCAACGCGTCAATTTGACAAAAGAAAATGTTAAAACCGCTGCAGATTTTCGACCATTCTTAACGCTGGCTTGAGCCGTAATAAGACTACAAAGTAAAGTATCATACGCATCATATAACAAACGAGCACATGCATAGAATGATGCGAATAGTTTCCAGTATGTGTATTCGATTACCTCTAGTGTTATTACAGAGAACGCTTCTCGCCTCATTTGCCCTCAGGCCATTGGTAGTTGTTTAGGACATTCTATATAAAAGAATATTTAATTATCTGGTTTACTTTTCACTACATTGTGGCTACTCGAAAGAAAAACATTTTGATATTTACTTGGCTGTCGTGACTGAGGTAGAAACATGCGACCATGTTATAATCTAGCAATAGGTGAAAGCTATATAGCTTTGTTAGGTGAGAAAACCTTAGAAAAAAAAAGGTGAGAAAAACAAGTGGTTTATAATCAGCTATTAAGATCGTCTTAACAATTTTGCATTTTACTTTAATGTAGGGACTTTTTTCGTGTTAAGAGCTTTTTGTTTGGCTTTGCCTAATGATGGATCGTTTGAATCTATAGGGCTCTATGCAGGGCGCATTACTAGAGAAATACGACATCATTTGTTCCTGCTAATACTGTATTCATAGTTTTTTGTTTTTCCAAAAATTATCTGTTTCTACCTCAGTTCTTCAAAATTGAATTTTTATCGTAAATGACCCAGACGATGTTCTGGTGCCATTAGATGTAGTAATTTCTGTATAGCATTTTCGTCTTTGCTTTCTTTTCGGCTATCTATATAATATAAATTCTATACGTTCAAGCGACGGACATTTATATCAGCAAGGTTATACGGTGTTAGGGCTTCGCCAGTGGAAGTTTTTGTCAATCGAGTAAACGGCATCGATAATCGTTCTCCTCTTTCAATTTCCATTCTAAAATTGTTTCACCCCTGTTATCGCAAGTATGGACTCATCCATGATTCTGTACGAAGGAAATTAAAATCTACTTTTTTAGACGCCATTTTCTGAGTCTAATGCATTAGCTGCATTTATGTGCTAGAGTATGCCTATCTGGCAATTTTAGTCGACGATATAATTCTTCAAACAGACTCTCAAAAATAACATTTCGATGTCCTTTCTTATTACGTCTGGAACATGGCATAATTGGTACCAATCGATGTTGTGCTAATTTGCTTCCAAATCTGTAAGCATTAACTTACCTAGATACTGTATTCTACGGTACCAAGCTTATGTGGAAATATCCAACTCTAACTCTCCTTGTTAAGAACCTACATATCAGTAAAAACAAATCGGAGGCGAAGCTCTTCCCCGCATAGCTTAATAAAGCGGTCGATTTATTCAGATTCCAATACATTAAAAAGTGTAAGGCTAAGGTAGCAGACCGAAATCCGGCCTTCGACTGAAGTGCTGGCACTATCAACGATACGGGACTCGACAGTAACAATTCACTAGGCAATCTAGTTGAGGTAAGGGATACTAACCTCATGCCATACACTTTTCTAATGCGCATTCGCTCTGCTTGTTGCTTCGCCTTTTTTGCCGTGATCTTTTTGTTACCGCTAGAGGGCGCCAACTATTGCAGCGACGTGCGGGAATGTAATAAGTTTTCTTGCACTGGTTTGCGGCGGTCACAAATCGGTTACCGTGGCACTTTCCGGTGCTTGAGTTGCGCAGTCCGATGCAGGTTCTACGACGCTGACCGGTACGTCGCTTGTTGCATTACGTGCTATTCCTAGCTATTTTATGTACAGTACAAAATACTTGACGTGCTCTATTGTACCTGTTTAGCTAGATCTACCTGGGAATAGATTATTATGATGTCAAAAAATGTTTGCAGGATTGGCCTTCTGGGCTTTTATCCAACCGGAGGTGACTAAGCGACTATGGTACTGCAAGGGTCGATATTTCGCATCATATATAAGGGGTGATTTTTCCTTAGAGTGTAGCGAAAGCTTTTTGGTAACGTGAACGAACCTGTGAATCTTGATATTAAAATTACATTCTACTAGATCCAGTTGTAACGTACGGGGATTTCCGAATGATCCGCATAGTACTAATGAAAATGTTCTCTGCCTTACTATACACTGGTAAATCCATATATCCGGAAAAGTTTTCTTACATGCTACTTATACCATTTACTATTATTAACCACGACCCTCGTCAACAGATTTTGCTTTCAACATAGCATTCGTAGTCGTCGTCATATTCAATCTATTGTAGTGGGTTTTAAAACTTAGTGCATGCCCGGTGACGTTCTTTGTTTTCTTCGTAGATAATTTTCATTACTCGTTGATTTGCGCTCCCCTACACCCACCCAGTCTACTTGATGAATATGTGTCTAGTACCACAACCGGTATTTCCATAAAGTACGCCTTTAGACTTTAGGCGTTTCCCATTACGTCATGTGTCGACATCCGATCCGCCTAAAATATCGAAAGATCATTTTGCTCCTAGCGCGATACCTGTTTTGTCTTCTTGTTCGGTCAGCTGTGTTCTGGCACAAGACGCATAGTTATTTAGCCATAATGCATTCATGACTGTTGGATCTATACAAACGAAACGAAACTTCCATAATATTCCCAATTAGCAGGTGCGCGTAGAGAGGCATGAAACTTTAAGAGCCAGTTTCTCGCAAACCCTCGCTATACTCAACTGGTTAATTAAAAGTTACAAACTTTGCATGCGTCTGCTCGGCTTCTGCAGTGTAATTGCTGCCCCCCGGTTAGATAGTCCTAGTAACCATTTTCATTATCTAGGTTCGAATCCATCGGTTGATAATAATCTTTTCCTCCTTTTGCTCGTTTTTTCCTATGTATTCTCTCTTCATTCTTGCTTTCTCCCTTATATTTTGTAAGTTTATTAATCTTAAGATTAACAGTAACTGTTTTATTAAGCGCTGTTACATTCCTGCAATTGAACGATTCACTGACAGAAAAAATACTTCTTTTTAATTAGTAACATGCGCTGTTTTGTGTTCCCTAAGTACACAGGAGTTTTAATAAAAATCAAATAACGCGATGTCGACCACAACGGATGTACACAGCTAGACCTAGGAAGTCTAAAGCCCAAAAAAAAATGTAATCTGGCTTATTGATTGTGTGCATAGGTGGCTAGACTTAGATCCGGACCTAGTCGCTAGCGGTCTCAAATAAACACCTATCTGTGCCAATGAAGTTTATTCCAGGAGGGATATAAACAAGCTTACTGAAATGGGGAAAACAGTCATTGGAATTGGGACGAAAATCAACTGTTGCCCGGTCTCTTCATGCTTCTCGAGCCTTCACCACGATTAGAACTTCATATACGTTGCCTTAAATCGACCGTTTATATTCATGTATATATCTTATTGCTACTGACAAAGCCGTGTGGAATATTATCAAGGGGATTCGAATTTCAAAAGCTTAGAGCTCGTTAAGATCGCTTAAAAGGCTGTACCTAATAGTTTTAAAATTCTAGTACGACCGTTTCTATCGATCTATCGATAACTGGGTCATCCAGTGTATATGGGTATTTGAGCGCACTTCAACGAAATCACATTTGTTAATACGGCTTAATACACTATTGCCATCAATTAAGGCAGGGATATTTTGAAAATGATTAGTAAGTGATTTAAATTTCGAATAGAATCAGTAAACGATAGTTATACTAGGTAAGCATGATTGAAAAAATTACACTTTTAGCGCGACCTAGATACCCCAATAGGCACTTTTTTATGAATACTTGAAGCGTCATTTTTGGCGATTTATTTAATATAACTACCATTCATGATGAGCGGCTCTTAGGGTATTTAGGCTTACTTTTATTAACATCTAAATACATTGAAACTAGACGACATTTCTGCGAAAATTCCTGAATTTGCAATTTTAATAAAACAAAAATACAAATGCTGCCCAGGCCTATAGAAAATTTGTGCTGTTCATGGTCAGCATGCGTTATCGGTAGAACCGGCCCAAAAATGGTTCTCTTATTTCTGGCGCAAAAATTTTCATATGAAAGATGCTCATCGTTATAATCGATCAGTCACGGGAAAGGTCAACGAAATGATCCTGAAGGATAGGCACGAGCGACACGTGAATAGGCACGATATCATCCAGGAACTGCACGTCCATCATTAAACAGCTTTAGACCACTTGAAGGAAGCCGGCAATAAAGAAAGCTTGCTGTTTGGGTGCCACACGAATTGACGTAAAATAATTTAATTGACTATAAATTCGTCTGCGGGAACACAGCGGAATCGAGCTCTTTCCAAATCAGTCAGTCACAGATGATGAAAAATGAATCACATATGACAAAATACTGCGATGAAGCCCAAACTGATGCTGAACTGAGTCATACTATGTGTCTTGTGAGATTGAAGATCGTGCATTATAAGTTGCTGCCGCTTGGAAAACCGATTGATTCGAACTCGAACTAGCAAAAGTTAACAAAATGACGACAAGCCATCAAGAAAATGGATCGTAATGAATGAACAGTACAGGTGCCGTTTTCCCACTATGACTAGCTCAGACATCTTTAGCTATTCGGCATTAAAATTCATATAACTTGCATAGGAGATTTGAATGGATCCGCCGTACATCTCGGATTATGCTTTATCCAACTTTCATTTATTTTGGTCTCTGCAGAACTTCCACTGTTCGGAAGTTGTGGTATTATGATCTTACAGGAAATAATAGATTAAAAAGGTGCATACTTTGCTTAGTAGTAGTACGTTAAGATATCAGAAATACTTGCTTCAATTTCAACTTAAAAACGGTCGACATTTTTTTGACAATCCTATATAAATTGTAGATAACCCTTTTGTCAACGAGTGTTTATATTACCCAATGGTGGAATAAGGCCATACGAAGCAGAAAAATAACTTTAACATGGGCGGCTAGATCTTTTAAAAACTACTACTATACTTTTTAATTTTTCTATTGCTCGAAGATAAGAAACCATCATAGTCAACCAAAATGCATTAGCAATGAACTTAAAAATTTTTACCTGTTTTATTTATTTGAATTTTCAGTTGTGTAAGTTTCTGTTTTTCACTATAAT